TGATGGTTATACATAACTAAGATTCTATAGCTTGAGAATGTTTGGTTTGGCCTTATTTCCTGTTCTTGTGTGATGAACGGCTTAGGGTAGGATCAGATATTCGACTGTCTATAGGGTCCAGTGTTATGTATGATTATCATACACAAGTGTTGCAGGGTTGGTGGAAGTTTCATGGATGAGTTGTGTGGGATTAGCTGACCAGTCTCATGATGTTTAGCCTTCCTCTAGGGAGTGAGGATTGAGTGAATGAGTATGCTAGTGTCTGTTGTCATGATCCTCTAAGACAAAAACGGGTAGGTGTGGAAGGTAGTATGTGCACGTACTACTGAAAGCACAGGACCCGTACGTGTAAAAGGGAAGTCACAACCCATAGGGATTTGTTGGGAGTTGGTTCCCCTGGTGATATGTGTGTTATATGATATCTCCCTGGTTTAATTTTAGTATGGTGATGACGAGACGATTTGAGGCTGAATCCGGATTGGGATCGGGAGCTTGTAGTCAGGGTGGGCCAGCAGTGACTGGGGACCATATCAAAGAGATTATCCATGAGGAGGTTGTGGCTATTGTCTGGGAGCATATACCGAAGCTTTTTGGGTCTATCAAATTAGTATTTATTCCACTCTTTCACTCTAAACTTTCAAGAATGTGATTTCAAGGTTGTTCGCACACCAAATTAGTATTTATTCTTATTTTTGTGCTGGTCCCACGTTTGAATTCAGATCAGATGTCACGTGTTCTCCATCTCAATGAGATGCTTGGTTACTTCTCAGGCTCAATGCTCGCTGATTAAGTTCTAGTTGTAGTGGCTTATTAAAACATAATTGCGGAATATTTTAGCCTTTTTCTATGCTTGGTTTTAGCCCTTTTTGCCCTACAATAAATGTGACTTACAAGTCTTTTCCAGTTTTAGATTCCAAGATGTTGTTTTATAGCCTTATTTAGCTCAAGCTCTTTACATTTATGTTGACTATTAATTTGGTATTAGATATTGAGTGAAATCAATAATGTTCTTGTTTTCTTGGTTGTATTTCTCATTTGCAGGTACACATGAAATCAAGAACAAGAATGTTCTTGTTTTCTTGGCTGGGAACGAAACGAGAGATATCAAAGCAAAATTGTGTACATATGAAACTTACAACATTCTACTGGAATGGAATCTTGAATTCCGATTCTGTCAGAATAGAATCTTGAAGATGAACATTGTATGGGATGAAGATGAACAATGACCACCAATCTTCCAAAAAGAATGGATTATTCCAACAGAATAATATACAATATTATGAAAAAAAAATATATGTAATAGTATAATCTGGTAGAATGATTTATATATTGTATTTCTTTATTATTAATAAGTGTAAAATTCTTATAGAATAGTATATAAATTTTTTTCTTTTCTAAGAATGTAATGAAATTTTTTTTTAACTTGTATCCAAAATTTTGTTATTCTTCAAGAAGTTCATTAAATCAAAATATATATTATGTCAGAATGTCTATTCTTGTATGGTTCAATCATATTTGTTATTTTTCAATATATTGATAAACATATTCCGTCAGAATGTTACGAATTAGGAGAATTATCATCCATACAATCAGATTTTTAAAATTAATACAATCTATTTTTTCTTAAAATATGCAATTTTCCTTAAAATATGCAAATTTCCGCTATTAAATCTATATTAATTGACTAAAATACCCTTCTAGTTAGAATAGATGGTATTTTTGAATTATATTTAATTCAATATTATGTAATAATCACTTACTTAAAATAAGTAAAATTGATTGGTCCACATTTATACATACAATAACACAATAATTACTTTGAATAGAATAACCTAAGCATATATATATATATATATATATATATATATATATATATATATATATATAATTCTTATATTAGAATCATACATTTTCTATTATTTCTCAATAATGATTATCTTATTTATTGTGGAGGATACTGATTTCCGAATGTGAAAAATAGTTCTAGAGAAAGAGGAATCAGATGATGCGTAAGTTAAAAATATAAATTTTATTTTGATTTTTTTATGTACCTATATTTCATCTCTGTATCTTATGTGCATTTATGTTTATAAACCATTTAGAAATGTGGTTTGTTTTTATTGTGACGAGACTGGAATAGAATTTAAGCAACAAAAATTTTGGGATTCATATGCATATAAAAGCATTTTAATTTCATTTTTCTCTATTACAATATTTTCATTTCTATTTCTTTTTATTATTAGGGTAGTGTGTTTTGAAAACTGATTGTGTGATGTGTGTATCATCGTTTCCTCTGTGTATATGTGTGTGAGTATGTATGGATTGTGGTTGGTTTAAAAAGTTCTAATTCGATTGAATGTGAAATTTTACATTAGGTTGAAGCGGAGAGAGTGAGTTTTTCCTATGTTGAAATTGATACTATTTCTTGCTCATGTATAAGAGGCATGTTAATAGCTTATTTTTTTTGTTTTCCTGATAGGTTTGAATGGCAATTGAAAGCTTTTACTTTAGGATCTAGAAATCCATGGATTTTGAAATTTATGATGCTAAGCTTTTGGAAAAAATGGAAAAGAAACTCGAAGATCTCTAGGCTAAATGCAAGAAGTATCAACATACTTTCATTTTATTTATTTATTTATTTTTTGTATAAAATAGCATTATATTTTAATTTTCCCCTTTTATAGCATCTTATGAGGTTATTATACTTTTAGAATGTATTTTATTTTAAGATGCCAAAGGAAATACCAAAATCACCCTTCCTATACTATAACATTCTTGAAGGAAATACCAAAATTGCCTTTGGTGAGCGTGATTATCACGTCGTCCCAACTTACATAGTATATATATATATATATATATATATATATATATATATATATATATATATATATATATATATATATATATATATATATATATATATATATATATATATATACTAGTTTATAACCCGTGGGAAGCACGGGTTATAAAATTATTTAAACTTTTATAATAAAATTTATAATTATTAATCAATTACTTTAAATAAATCATTTATTAAGAGATATATCAAAATTTTAAAATTATTATAACTTCAAATTTAACATATAATTAGAAAATGTAAATTTGAATTTTGAAATGAGTTGTCTAATATATCTACAATATTAATCAGAAGTTGTATTATAGTGACACTTAACAAAAGGAGAGTAAAACTATTCATTTATTATATATATATATATATATATATATATATATATATATATATATATATATATATATATATATAAAAGAAGGCTTGTTAATAATAAGTCAACAACTTGTCTGCATGCAGGTGATACACATGTCACAATGTAGCATGGTCACGTCACAAGTTATTCAAGGTAAATATCCTAAAAATGGAAAAATTTATGTCTGTGAAAGTATTGTCTGGTAAAGTGTTGTCTGGAAAAGTTTTCTGACCGGGAAAGAAACCATGTTCTTTGATTGTACATCTGATTGACTGTGCTGAATGATGAAAAAAATTAATAATTCAGTAAAAAATAAATTTAAAAAAAGTTATTTAAAAAAATTAATAATCCAATAAAGAAAGAAAGAGGTGGGGTTTGGTGTATAATTGTCTTTCCAGCCCATTCAGCCAGTAAGATATGATTTTAGGGCTTTCTGGGAAAGAAATATCTTACCGGGAAAGACCCCTTCTTTTGTGCAAATCAAACAGTCTTTCCGGTCCATTCAGCCAGAAAGATCTGTTTGGACCTGGAAAAATGCGTATCAAACGGGGCCTAAAGATTAACTTTAAGACAAACGAAAGTTATAATGATAAAAATAACGAAACCAAGGCGAAACGCGAACACTATAAGTAGGGGGCCAAAACCAAAACTTCGAAATGAAACCACATAAAAAGTTTAATATGGTTTAAATTATAACAAGCTCAAAATCTAAAGAAAGTTAATATAAATAGACTTGTATCATTTATCAGTGATTAATAACCATTAGAACTAACTATTAAAACATAAAACAACGAACGGACCATTTTTTTATTTAAAGAGGATAATTTATTTCTATAGTTGAAGAAAATGTGTATTTTAATATTTGAAAATATTTATCTATATTTTCACTACACGATTAAATTTATTTTTTTTATAAGTAACACATGTTAATTTAAAATAAATCAGATTAGTTAACAATATGAAAATAATAAACCAACTTTTGAAAAACTCGTGGAGGATAAAACAGGCCCTAAATATAAAAATAAATTTTAATAACTTTCATGTAAATTGTTACAATATAAATCGAATAAATAAACCTATTTAATATAATACAATATGTGTTTATAACAAAAAACTGATACGCTAGCCCATTAATTGAATTACTTAAATAAGCCCAACAAATCAATAATACAAATCCACTACAAATACAGAATTGTCACCTTTTTGGCGTTTAGGGTTTTTATGAAGTAGCCAACGGGAGTTAAAGAAAGGGGAACGATCCAAATTGCAGCGGTCTAATTCATCTTTTCTGAAAAATCGCAAATCGTTATCTCACGAACGATTTGTGGCATGAGGCTTGGGCGCAAAAACAAATCACCAATCGTTTGATTTAACAGATTTTTTCTGCTTTCTTCGTTAATCTACCAAATTGTTTTCTTCTTTATCATTTGCCTTTCCACCATAATCATTCAACATTATGTACTTACAAGTCTAAAAAAACAGGGGGGCCATGGCCCCCCCTAGCCCAACAAACCACCGAACGAAACGATTGTCATTTCTAGATTGGTAAAAGTAAATATAATAATATAATTATACAATATCTCAGTGTAAATAATTATACAATATCTCAGTGTATGCATGATATCAACTTATTATATAAAATTATATATTATAGATTGAACGCATTTCTATGGAATATAACGTGCGAATAAGAAAATAATACTTTATTGTTAAGCCTTTTAAAATTTATTAAAGAACTAAGTTGAAAAGTCAATATAACACAGCTCCATGTTAATCATTTGAGTACATAAATATCCGCAGCTTACCCATCATCTCTTACACCACTCCTTGAGTAACAATGGCCATCGATATGACCATCGTCCTCATTGTTTTCTCTTTCATTATCTCCATTTACTTCATGTTCATCAGAAAACCCAAGGGTACGAAGGCTCTAAACCTGCCACCAGGCCCACCAACACTACCCATCATCGGAAACCTCCATCAGATTGGTCTAGAACTGCCACATCGTGCTTTCCGCAACTTGTCCAAAAAATATGGCCCCATCATGAGCCTGCAACTCGGCCAGATCTCCATGATCGTCGTGTCTTCGCCTAAGTTAGCTGAAGAAGTGATAAAAACCAACGACCTCGCTCTTGCAAGCAGACCATATGCACTTCTTGCCGATATTCTGTTGTATGGAGGCATCGACATCGCTTTTGGTCGTTACAGTGATTACTGGAGACAAATGAAGAAGATTGTCACCATGGAACTCTTAAGTGTCAAGAAAGTCCAATCCTTCATGGGTTTTCGAGCTGAAGAGATCGATCGTTTCACGGAGGTCGTTCAATCCAGCGTTGGAAAGCCTGTACATATACGTCAAAGGGTTATGTATATGAATAATACTGTGGTGTGCAAGTGTTTGTTTGGGAATAACTGCAGACAACAGGACGTATTGATCGAGTTGGTTGAACAAGTGGTGGCACTATCGAGTGGGTATTATATTGCAGACCTGTTTCCTAAGTTAAGCTTTCTTTCGGTCATTTCTGGAATGAAATCGACTTTGAATCATATTCACGAGACTCTTGATAAAATCTTCAATGAAATCTTTGAGGATCGTAGAATCAAAAGACAAACAACTGGACCAACGGAAGATGATCTCGTTGACGTTCTTTTCAACATCAAAGAGCGTGGTGGTCTTCGGTTCCCGGTCACCGACAACAATATCAAGGCCATCTTTTTGGTATGTCCATAATCCGTACATGTGGTGAATTATATATCATGACTTTATAATTATATTAAATACTAACTCCACTATATATCTATGCCATTTTAATAATGTTTTGCTGCAAATTAAGTACTAGAATACTTTTTTAGTAAGTGGTTATTTATAGTGAACACTCACGTAATATTAATTCATTATGTAGCCCAAGTGTTTTGTTGCTTTTATATACACATATTATGATATCAATGTTATTAAATATAGCATAAATTGAATAACGTATAATGAGTATCTGTTTATCTTTTAAACGCGTCTAAATAAGTTTTTTAATGACTGCAGAATATGCTTATTGGAGGCACTGATACTAGCGTTGTGACAATTGAATGGGCAATGACAGAGTTAATGAAAAACCCTGATGTGATGAAGAAGGCACAAGCAGAAGTGAGAGAAGTATTCAAGGGAAAGAAAACAGTGTTAGAGAGTGAATTGAATGGTTTGGTTTACCTTAAACACATAATCAAAGAAACACTAAGGCTTCACATTACTATTCCACTATTACTCCCAAGGGAATGTATGGAACAGTGTCAAGTTGGTGGTTATGATATCCCGAAGAAAATGAAAGTTGTTGTTAATGGTCTTGCATGCGGAACTGATCCAGAGTACTGGGATGATCCAGAAACCTTTAAACCAGAGAGATTTGAGAAGACTTCCTATGATTTCTTCGGTACAAGCCCTGAGTATATCCCATTTGGAGGAGGAAGGAGAATTTGTCCTGGGATTGCTTTTGGTTTGGTCTCTATTGAGCTCACTCTTGCTAGATTGCTATTCCACTTCAACTGGGAACTTCCTAATGGAATGACCCCTAAAGATATTGACATGACTGAGAGTCATGGAGTCACTGCAATTAAGAAATCTTCCTTGGAGGTAATCCCAGCTGTTTTTATTCCGTTTTCATGATCAACGGGTACAACGGTACAAACAAGTAAGAGTAAAGGTTATTTAGCCTTGAAGAAGAAACCGACCAATATTTATCGATCTTTTACAACGTTTTGTATTTGTTGGCTTGTTACCATTTCGGTTTCTAATTGTTTAGCCAAATATATGGTTTGAATGGTAGCCAAATCTTGATCTCATGCATAAGAATCCGAGTTCATTAATTAGATATACTATTTTTCTTTATGTACTTTAAAAAGGAAATAAAAGTAACGCAAAAGCTTGGCCATATTATTCTTATGAGGAATAAGATATTTTATCCTTACAAAACTTTCCCTTTATTGATTTTATGAATTTAAAGAATACTATGAAAAAAGAACATAAAAAACTAAAACACACATAAGACCTCTTCGACTTTTAGCTTTGTTGGTTTTCGGAATTAGCCGATATTACTATTGTATATTCTTGTATATCTTATTTACTATTAGTTCCGTGTATTTTAGGAAGTTAGCTCCTGTATATTAGGAAGTTAGCTTCTCTGTGATTATAAATACGTTTATTTAGTTAATGAGACCAATGACTTCCAGCCTAGCTGGGAAGAGGTACCGGGTTTAATACCCACGTGGGGTCAGAGGTCGGGAGTTCAATCCCTACAAAACCCAATTTGGGTGCCTCTTAAACTTGTGCCACATGTGGGGAAATTTTCCCTGGAAACCCCTATGGGGGCTGGGTTTGCCCTGTAAAGGAGCTCGAACCCGGGGTGCTCGTTGAAATATGCGAGTAGGCTTCCGTTTAATTATTTGCCGTTTCCAAAAAAAAAGTTAATGAGAATCAAGGAAATTCTACGGAAACCTTTATGGTATCAGAGCGAAAATTCGCCTAATCTTCACCCTTTTCTTCGATATTCAGAAAGTTGCCTATTCACAGTGGGTTAAACTTTTCAAACTCCATGTTCGTGGCTATACGGTTCTTCAACACATTGATGGCACTCCTCCTCTTCCGAAAACTAGTGCCGATTACACCCAGTGGAACAAAATTGACGGCGTAGTTCTTCAATGGATCTATGGGTCGATCTCTGATGACCTTCTCACACGCATCCTTGGCGATGACACCGCTCACCAAGCATGGGAAAAGGTGAAGAAAATCTTCCTCAACAATAAGGGATCATGTGTCGCCACCCTCGAACATGAGTTTACCAATCTTACTCTCCGATCCATGAACTCTCTTGAAGACTACTGTCAGAAGTTAAAGCATCTTGTTGATCAACTATTGGATGTGGAGATCCCGCTCTCTGAAAATCGCAGGGTACTCCAACTTGTACGTCGATTGTTGCCTGAATAGAATACCACAGCCGCCTACATCAATCAGACTCCACCCGACTGTGATACGACCCAAAGCATGCTTCAATTGGAACGGAATCGTCATCAAACTCGGGAACAAATCACTACTCCAACTGTTGGTCTTACTGCATCAGATGTGCATGTTGCTTCTTACTCTTCCTCAAGAATACCTCGAAAGCCTCGTGGTCCCCCCCCCCCTCCCGAATCGCCAATCGCATCGTGGAGGCCCTTCCCAGCAGCACAGTGATCGCCAACCATATAGTGGTTCTTCGCAGCCTCGTAATCCTCGCCCCGAAAATCAAAATCAATCTCCATCCCTTGCCTATTATGATGCACCACCATAGTGGAATATGATCCAACATCTTTGTCCCTACCCCACTCAACAAGGTTGGGCCTATCCATGGTACTCCAATCCCCACCTGACACCGCAGCAACCTCCATGTCGGATCCCCAACACACCGGCTTACTATCCGGATACGCCTCAAGCCAACACCGTGACTGCGTTAAATGCCCTTGATCCCACTAACATTGGACCTGCATTTCAGGCCGTGACTCTAGACCCTCTAGAAGACTCTGATTGGTACATGGATATTGGCGCCTCTTCTCACCTCACTGTCGACTCTGGTAATCTTCAAAATTTTATACCTAACAGTCACATAAAGTCTATATTTGTAGGTAATGGACATGCTATTCCAGTTATGGGCACAGGCAACACTACCCTTTTATCCAAACCCAAACCTGTTTCTTTAAACAAAATCCTTTACACTCCTGGCATTATGAAAAATCATGTAGTTGTACATCAATTTACCATTGATAATGACGAATCAGTTAAATTTGATCCTATCGGTTTTACTTTAAAGGATCGCCAAAGTGGGACGTTCCTCTCCCGCCACAATAACACATGAGCTTTCTACAAGTTCACCCCTCTGGAAACATCCTCTGATTTCCTGTCCACGTTGTCTCCTGACGTATGACACTTCTAGCTTGGACATCCTGCCGGCAATATCCTTCATATTTTACTTTCTCAGTCTCTTATTTTATGTAATAAGAGTACTACTAATACTCATTCTCTTTGTCACTCATGTCAAATTTCCAAACACAAAGACTTACCTTTTTATGATTCTCGTTCTCATACTTTATTACCTTTTGACATCATTCATTGTGATCTTTGGACATCACCAGTACCTACTACCTAGTACCTAGTACAACTGGTTACAAATATTATATGGTACTTACTTACAATTTTACCCAATATGTGTGGATTTATCCTCTAAAATTTAAGTCAGACACATTTTTGCATTTCTCATAGTTTCATTCTCTTCTTCAAACTTAATTCCACACCAAAATAAAAAGCTTCCAATATGACTTAGGTGGCGAATTTGACAACATTGCATTTAAAATTTTTGCATCCAAACATTGTCTTGAGTTTCGATTTGCATGTCCTCAAACCTCATCATAAAATGGAAAATCGGAAAGAATGATATGTCTCCTAAATGAAATTGTCCTTGTATCGCCTAAATGAAATTGTCCTTGTCCTTCTAGATCACGCATCTTTACCACCCTCTCTTTAGGTTGATGCACTTAATGCTGCTGCCTATCTCCACAAGATCACCCCAACCAAAGTCCTTAACAAATAAACCCCAACAACCATGCTTTTCCATCGAAATCCTTCTTATGGCCACTTTCGTATTTTGGTTATGTACGTTATCCAAATCTTTCCGCTAAACGAAACCACAAACTTGACCCCCGTTCCATAAATGTGTCTTCCTTGGCTATCCCGCAAATTATCGTGTATACCGTTGTCTTGATCCCACCACCGACAAAGTAAATCTCTCATGGCACGTCACTTTTGACGAGACAGTCTTCCCATTTGCTTCCTCTACCATATCCACCACATATAAATATGATTTCATATTTGAAGATACTAACCTCTATTCCACCTTCACCAAATTCTCTCACTCTACACCTTACCCACAACCATCACCACCACCAACACCAACATCGTCCCCACCACCACCACCTACACCACCCCTACCGTCGCCTCCACCACCTCCATCACCACCGCCACCAGCCCTTTCCCAGCCTATGGCCATCCGATCCCAACATGTAATTGTCAAACCTCTCATACGCCTAAACCTTCACACCACAACCATCTCACCTCTTCCAAAAAACCCTCATATTTCCTTCCATGACCATAACTAGAAACATGCCATGACTGATTAATACAAGACGTTGTGTGATAATGAAACATGTGGATTTATCGCCACGAATTTCATGCTGACGGTTCCTTACAACGCTATAAAGCTTGTCTTGTAGTCAATGGAAAAACTAAACAGGTTGGCATAGATTGTGATGAAACCTTTAGCCCTGTGGTAAAACCTACGACCATTCACACTGTTATTACGCTTGTGGTATCCCGGTCTTGGCCTATACACCAACTAGATGTCAAAAACGCTTTCTTACACGGGGATTTATCTGAAACAGTGTATATGCATCAACGGCCTGGCTTTGTTGATTTCACATATCCTCATCACGTATGTAAGTTACGAAAGTCCCTATATGGACTAAACCAAGCTCATCGAGCTTGGTACCACAGGTTTGCGACGTATATCACCTCTCACGGTTTTAAAATTGTTGTCACAGATACCTTATTTTTTGTTTATAAGAATGGGCGAGATATGGCTTATTTATTACTGTACGTCAATGACATCATCCTCACCGCTTCCTCGAACTCATTTTTAAAGCATGTCATCGACACCTTGTCTCGTGAATTTGTGATGGATGACCTTGGCACACTCATCATTTTCTCGGTATTTAAGTTATATGTAATTCTCGAGGACTCTTTCTTTCTCAGTTAACCTATGCACAGGACATTATTAATCGGTCGAACGTGTATCAATGTAATCCCGTCTCAACTCTAGCCGATACCTCTTCCAAACTCAGTGCTACAGCGAGAAAACCTTTTGATGATGGCACACTTTACCGAATCCTTGTTGGAGCTCTTCAATACCTTACCTTTACGTGACATGTTATCATGTATGTGGTCCAACAGATCTGCCTATTTATGCATGCCCCAATGGAGCCCCATTTTAACTCTTTAAAACGCATAATCTGCTATCTTCAGGGTACAATTTATCAAGGCCTTCATATTCTTGCATCCCCAAAGCTGCACATTACTGCCTATTCCGATGCTAATTAGGGGGGGGGGGTGCACCGACTCTCGTAAATCTACTTCTAGATACTATGTATTCTTAGGAGACAACTTGGTCTCATGGTCCTCTAAATGTCAACCAACCGTATCTCGCTCCAGTGCAGAAGCAAAATACAGGGGAGTTGCTAATGCAACGACTAAAACAAGCTGACTACAAAACTTGTTACTCGAATTGCACGCACCTGTCCATAAATCCACAATCATTTATTGTGATAACATATCTGCCGTATATCTCTCTGACAACCCGGTGCAACATCAACGTACCAAACATGTCAAAATTGACATAAATTTTGTTCGAGAACTAGTTAAAATTGAAAGAATTCATGTTCTTCACGTTCCCACTGATCATCAATATGTGGATATTTTCACCAAAGGTATACCCAAACAACCCTTTCAATGCTTCAAGTCCAGTTTGAGTGTTCGATCTCCTCCCGCTCAAACTGCGGGGGTATATTAGCCGATATTATTATTGTATATTCTTGTATACCTTATTTACTATTAGTTCCCTGTATTTTAGGAAGTTAGCTTCTTTGTAATTATAAATATGTTTATTTAGTTAATGAGAATCAAGGAAATTCTACGGAAACCTTTATTCGGCTATAAGAATTGGCCACTACATTTTTTTCCTTTTCCCATTCTTATGCTAAATTAAATATTCTTCTTTTTCATCTGATGAATATGTATATGATTTAACAAATGTAGAGTACTTCGGATATATCTCATCTCCAATATAATACCCAAACTTGTATTCATATATATTCATAGCACATGCTATATCAGACGTTTTATCCTTCATTGAATATTGGTGACCACCTACCACATAAAATAGAGGTATTAGCGGCAAAAATTTTCTATTCAATGCATAGAATATCATTGAATATCATCGGCATCTATATCATTGCTAATGCCTATTTGTTGTTGCTATTGTTGTCGCCGCTAACGTCCCTCATCGCTATAGCCTTCTGTCGCTAGTAATAGCGTCGTCACTAAATCTTTATTTTTTTTAGTATTGCAACTATCTATAAAAGAAATATTTAAATGACTATTAAAATCTATAAAAATTTTACCTAAATTGCAGAAATATAGAATCCAAATCATCATATAAAACTTTTAATATAAAATCTACAAGATATTGAAATCGCAAATAAACGTACAACACTAATATTAATAAAATACAAAAGTAAACATAAACTAGTCATCATCGCCATCTTCAAGCCCTAGTTCTTGTGACAACTATTTTTATAATAGGTATTCGTGTTTGAGAATGAGCCAAAGTTAGTGGTAGAAGGTGATAGTTCACTATGAGATGATTTCATGGATATAAAGTTTGTCAAAAATGAAGTTCGGATGAAGAAGTTATGGACATTTAAAGTTGAGATGAAAGTAGGTTGCTATTTTGAGAAAATCAACAAACTCAAAATCAAAAGGTCATTGGCGGCTCTTCACGGTGCATCTAATATTAAAGAGGTAATGAATCACAAGGAAAGGAATGACACGTGGCGAAGCAATAAACACGTGGAAAAATCCAGAGTCTCTTCTTCACTGTGGTGTGACGTGGTGCATCCAACATATAAATATGATCCATTTTTGTCATTTTAGAGGTTTTGGCACACACAGTCAGGGGAGCGACTCGAGAGGTGTTTCCAGATGCTTATAGTCGGAGATTTATACTATAGTACAAGGGATACGAGGGTTGAGTTATAGGATTGGCTGAGGTATCTTTTATCCTGTTATTACATAATTACGTTATTATGATATTTCATAGAAGGTTGATAAACCCGAGTATTTGT